ATTCTGGCCCTTAGTCCGCGGGGATACGCGTTTTGGGGAATGTTTTGTCTTGCGGGAGTTTGAGGTTCGCCTTGGTAGGGGCTCGCTTTCTCTCGTTCTTGTTTTCTTCCTCTTCTCCATCTCCTTTTCCTTCTTCTTCTTTTCCTCGTTCCTCTCCTCCTTCTCCTTCTTTTCCTTTTTCTTCTTCGTCTCCTCCTTCGTCTCCTTCTTCTTCTTCTTCTTCTTCTTCTTCTAATTTTCTTCTTTTCCTCTTCCTCCTTTTCCTTCGTCTTCCTCTTCTTTTCCTCCTCCTCCTCCCTTTTCTTTCTTTTTCTTCCTCTTCCTCCTCCTCCTCCTCCTCCTCCTCCTCCTCCTCCATCTCCTATTCCTTCTCCTCATTTCCTTTCCTCTTTTTTCTTCCCACACTTGCTCTTCCTCTTTCTTTCACTCTTCCTCTTTCCCCTTCCACCTCTTCTTGAGCTTCTATTCCAACGAACACACCGAGAAGACAAAAGTAAATAAAGGGTGGGAATAAAAAGATGATAAGAACGGGGCCGAGAGGTGAAGCCAGCGGAGAATGAGTAAGTTACGAGTAAGCTAAGAGGAAGGGGGGGGGGGGAGGGGGGTAGAGGGGAGAGGGGGGGGGGGAGAACTGCAGGTTATGCGAGGAATGTTCGAAGGTGTCGCCGCGATGGGAGGTCGGGGGGGAGGGGGGGAGGGGGTAACGGGAGAGGGAAGGAGGAAGGAAGGAAGGAGGGAAAGAAGGAAGAAGGGAGATGGGGGGGAGGGGAAGAAGGAAGGAAGGAGGGAGAGAAGGAAGTGGAGAAGGAAGGAGAGAGACAGACAGAGGGACAGAGAGAGAGAGAGAATGAAAGAAAGAAAGAGGGAGAGAGAGAGAGAGAGAGAGAGAGAGAGAGAGAGAGAGAGAGAGAGAGAGAGAGAGAGAGAGAGAGAGGATTGGGGAACAGACAGACGGACAGACACAGAGACAGAGAGATCACCGCGAAGAAATAGAGAGAGGGGGGGGAAGGGGGAGAAAGTCCGCGGTGGGGAGACGCGGACAGGAAGTCTGTTCGTACATCGGCGGGAATCGCCTCTTAAGTGGTAATTATGGGACACTTTTGCGGCTTGTCTCGGCAGGGGGGGCGGGGTTGGGGATGGGGTGGGGGGTTGGGGGTGATCAGGCGAGGGCGGGAAGGGGGGGAGGGAGGGGAGAGGGGGATTGTTATTTAGGTGGGCGATGCTCCTTTCTTTTATTCTCTCTCACTCTCTCTCGCTTTCTTTAACTTTTTAAATCACGCTTCCTCGTTATCTGTGTCGCGTTCTCTGTCTCTCTCTCTCTCTCTCTCTCTCTCTCTCTCTCTCTCCCCTCTCTCTCTCTCCCTCTCTCTCTCCCTCCCTCCCTCCCTCCGTCTCCTCCCACTCTCCCCCCTCTCCCTCCCCCTCTCCCCCCCCTCTCTCCCTCCCTCCTTCCCTTCCCCCCTCTCTCCCCCTCTTTCCCTCCCTCCCTCCTCTCTGCGTCTGTCTGTGGGCCTGTCATGAGAAAGCAATCCGTCGCGAGGCAGGATAATCCACCTCAGCCCATACGCCCCGTTTAAGACCTGTAAATCCAAGGCGACGATCCTCCCCCAAGCAGGCAGGTCGGGGAGGCAGGCGAGGAGGTCCATTCACCTGCGGGGCTTCCGGCTCGGAGGCGAAGGCAACGAGGGGTCGGTCGGCGCAGGCCTTCAGAACAATGGTTGCCTTGTGTCGTGGGGGGCTTCGCGAGGTGCGGTGGCTTGGCTGGCGAGATGCGGGCGGGGTTTGGGGGTTTGTTGGATAAGGTTGTGGGTTGTGTTGTGGGTTGTGCAGAGTAGGTTGTGGGTTGAATGATTAGGTTGTAGATTGTGAGAGCAGGTTGTAGGTTGTAAGATTAGGTTATGGGTCGATAGATTAGGTTGTAGGTTGAATTATTAGGTTTTGGGTTGTGAGAGTAGGTTGTGGGTTGATAGATTAGGTTGTAGGTTGAATGATTAGGTTGTGGGTTGTGAGAGTAGGTTGTGGGTTGTAAGGTTAGGTTGTAAGTTGAGAGATTAGGTTGTAGGTTGTAAGGTTGGATTGTAGGTTGTAAGATTTTGTTGTAGTATGAATTATTAGATTGTAGTTTGAAAGATTAGGTCGTAGGTTGTAAGATACAGCGGGGTTGTAGGATATGATTGTAAGCTTGGGTTGAGAGATATGAGCGAGGTTTTGAGATCCAGCTGCCGGCGTGTGTTGTAAGATGAAGTTGTATATATGTTGTTTTTTTTAGATATGGATGCGGCGGCGGGGTTGGAAGATGTAGATGTTTTCAAATACAGCTTCAGTCGCGGGTTATAAGATGCAGCTGTGGGTGTGGGTTGTAAGATACGGTTGTAGGTGTAGGTTGTAAGACACATCTGTAGTCGTGTATTGTAAGATGCAGCTTCTGTCGCGGGGTGTTAGGTACAGTTGTAGTCGTGGGTTGTATGATGCAGCTGTAGTCGCGAGTTTGTTCCGTGTGAGATGTGCTTGTTGGAAGGGGTTGTAGCTCGGGAGGCACAGCTGTCGACCAGATAGGAAACGGAAAGCAACTGACAATCACGTGTATTGGATTTGGGTCTTGCTCTCATTCTCTTCTCTTCTCATTTCTCCTCCTTTCTTCTTCTTTTTTTCTTTCTTCTTGGTTTTCGTCTTGGTATTTTCCTTCTTCTTCTCCTTTTCCTTATTGGTTCTCTCTCTCTCTCTCTCTCTCTCTCTCTCTCTCTCTCTCTCTCTCTCTCTCTCTCTCTCTCTCTCTCTCTCTTTGCAGGCAGGGTATGGCGAGTGCCTTTGTTTACGCAGGGGCACAGTGCCAGTGCGCCAAGTGCTCAGCAGATGATGAGAACCTGATAGACAGGCAGACAGACAGACATCATCATCGTCATCATCATCCACTTCTTCCTTTCCTCCTACTCCTCTCTTTCTCTTTCTCTTTCTCCTTCTCCTTCTCCATTACCACCACTATCACCAGCAGCAACAACAACATCAACAACAGCAACAATAACAATAATAATAACAGCAGCTTTAGCCCCCCCCCCCTCCCACACCTTCCGTCTACCCCCTCCTCCCAACATAGCCTTAAAGACACGTTATTTCTACAGTGTACAGCTGAGTCCCTCCTGAATACACATTGCATAAGTCATAAACGCGTGAGCCTCCTCTTTTGTAAGTGGCGGCTCCTTTTCTCTCTGTCTGTCTCCTCTTTTCTCCTCCTATTTTCACTTTATGGTCTTCCGCAGTGCCACTTTAGGGAGTGCCAAAGAGGCGAGAACCCCTTAGGAAGGTTGTGTGGTACCATTTTTTTTTCAAGGAATTAGGTTTTTATGTTTTTTTTTTTTTTTTTTTGTTTTTTTTTTTTAATGGGTGTGTGTATGTTTGTATGGCTATGTGAATGAGTTACTCTGTGTGTGTGTGAGTGAGTGAGTGAGTGAGTGAGTGAGTTAGTGAGTGAGTGAGTGTGAGAAAGAGAAAGAGAGAGAAAGGGTGATTGAGTAAACGAGTGACTGACTAACTGTGTGGGTGAGTGTGGCACTATTAAAATTCCAAGTGAAGCGATGAAGGTGTTTTTGTTTCTCTTTTTTATGCCTGAACCTACCAGCAAGCTCCATTTACTCTTGGGGGGGGGGGGGGGGGGATATAGGTTGCCTTCCCCGCAGTTGCCTGTGAAATGACTCTAATAACTTGTGTTATTATGTCTAATAACTTGCGTTGATTATCACTTGTGTCCTGCTGGGCCTTTCATTGCATCCGTTGTTGCAAGAATTATGGAAGCACAGCACGGGCCGGGACCTCTTTCCTCGCTGTAATTATCTCCCTTACCCCCCCCCCCTCCTCCTCCTCCTCCTCCTCCTCCTCCTCCTCTTTCTCTTCTTTCTTCTCTCCGCGATACTTTCTTTTTTTTTTACCGTGTCTCCTTCCACCCTCTTCTCCCCCCCCCCTCTCTGTCTTTCTTCTTCCTCCTCCTTCTTCCCCTCTTTCTTTTTCCTCCTCCCTCTGCTCCTCTTTTCCTCCCCCCCCCCCTCTAACACACTCCCACCATCTCCTTCCCATTTCTATCCTAACTATCACCCCACTTTCTATCCCCTTCCTTCTTCCCCACTCCTTTCCTATTCCTCCTCCTCTTCTCTCCCTTTCTTTCTCCCTCTTACCCATCACTTCTCCCTCCCCTTGCCCCCCCCCCTCCTTCCTCCTTCTTACCCAGCCTCCCCTGCCCCCCCCCCCCTCCTTCCTCTCTTGCTCTCTCCCTCTCCTTCCTCCCTCCCCCTCCTTCCTTCCTCCCTTGCTCTCCCCCTCCTTCCTTCCTCCCTTGCTCTCCCCCTCCTTCCTTCCTCCCTTGCTCCCCCCTCCTTCCTCCCTTGCCCCCCCCCCCCTTCCTCCCTTTCCTGTGCACATGTGCGCCGGAATTTTAATGGCGATCATCCTTGGCAATTTCCTCTCGTTTTTAGGGCGTGTCTGTATTTTTAAGTTTGTTTTTTCTTATTATTAGTGTTGTTCTTGTTTTATTGTTATTGTTGTTATTATTATTAATTATTATTATTATTATCATTATTGTTAGTGGTATTATTATTAGTGGTATTAGTGGTATTATTATGATTATGGGTGTCATTGTCGTTATTGTTATTATTATTATCATTATTGTTATTGGTATTATTATTATTACTATTATCATTATTATTATTATTATTATCATTATTATTATCAGCATCACTTATTATCTGGTATTGTTATTATCATTGAAAATTATTATTATTATAATTATTATAATTATTATTATTATTATTATTATTATTATTATCCTTATTATCAGCACCACTTATTATCTGGTATTGTTATTATCATTATTGTTAGTGGTATTATTATTATTATTATTATAATAATTATTATTATAAATATCATCAGCAGCACCCCTATTGTTATCAGCATTATTGTTATTATCATCCATTGCCCTTTCTTCCTAACCCCGCCTCTCCTTCCCTTCGCAGCTGGAGTATGGCTCCGGGGGCGCGGGCATCCCCCTGTCCCCGACGGTGCGCCGCTCCGTCGACGAGTCTACCCTGTGGCGGCGGCGCACGGGCGGCTACGCGTCGGGGGGCGTCGGGAGGCAGGCGTCGACGGAGGAAGTGCGCCGCCGCAGGGAGAGCTTCGCCTCGCTCTCCCCCCACCACCTCTCCGCCGGCTCCATCCACCACGCCACAGGTAAGCAAGGAGGGGAGGGAGGGGAGGGAGACACAGGGAGGGGAAGGAGGGAAAGGGAGTCACAGGGAGGGGCGGGAGGGGAGGGAGACACAGGGAAGGGAGGGAGGGGAGGGAGACACAGGGAGGGGAGGGAGGGGAGGAGGGGAGGAGCCACAGGGAGGGGAGGGAAGGGAGGGAGACACAGGGAGGGGAGGGAGGGGAGGGAGACAAAGGGAGGGGAGGGAGGGGAAGGAGACAAAAGGAGGGGATGGAGACAAAGGGGCGTGTCCTGAGGGGCGTGTCCTGAGGGGTGTGTTCTGAGGGGTGTGTCGTGGGAGGATTGTCCTAGAGTTTTTTTTTTTTTTTTTTTTTTTTTTTTTTTTTTTTTTTTTTTTTTTTTTTTTTTGGGAGGGGGGGGTCTAGGTAAGGAAGGAGGATGAGGATTGAGGGGTGGGTACGAAAGAAAAAGGAGGAGGAGGAGGTAGTAGTAGAAGAAGAAGAAGAAGAAGAAGAAGAAGAAGAAGAAGAAGAAGAAAGAGATGATAAAAATGAGGACGAGGACGAGGACGAGGTCGAGGGAGTGGGGTGGGGGTAGGGGTGGGGGAGGTGGTGTCATGGCATACGTCGGTCTGATTTTCGACATTTTTTTTTTTTTAATGAAAGGAAGGTTTTATTCACATGATGAAAAGGGAGAAAAAAGGGTGAGCATGCGTGTCCGTTTTTAGGAGTGTGAAGTATTAATGTCAATCTATTTATAGTAATTGCTTTCCCAGGGTCGGTCGGGCCTAAAATACATGTAGGTAGCCACTCTCTTTTTCATTTTTTTGTTATTATTGTTGTTATTGTTATTATTATTATTATTATTGTTACTATTGTTATTATTATTATTGTTGTTGTTAGTATTGTTGATGTTGTTTTGTTGTTGGTATTGTTGTTGTTCTTTCATTATTATTTCGTTTTTGTTTGTTTGTTTTGTGGAGGTTATGGGGGTGAGGGGAGGGTGGGGGGGTGACTTGATGATTTCTCCTAACCTTGTCGTCTTGGGAAGACTTTTAATGAACTTTCAACTATTTGTTATTCGGTAAATGTCGAGATGAAGAAAAAAATATATATATATATAATGGTATTTAAAGTAAGTCAACAATATGGAAATAAAAATGGAAATTTAGACGCGATCTGTTTTTTTGAAACATGTTGCGTCATCGTCCTCCTGCCTAGGGATGGGGGGGGGGGTGAGGATCGAAAGGGGGGGGGGGGGGCAGGAGACACTTGTGACAGAAGAGAACACCTGTGATGAAGACAGCTGTTTCATTCTCACGCACTTCGCATTTGAAGGCACATGATTTCTCTCTTTCTCTTTCTCTCTCTCTCTCTCTCTCTTTCTTTCTCTCTCTTTCTCTCTCTCTCTCTCTCTCTCTCTCTCTCTCTCTCTCTCTCTCTCTCTCTCTCTCTCTCTCTCTCTCTCTCTCTCTCTCTCTCTCTCTCTGTTCCCTATCGTTTCCACTGTCCTTTCCTCCATATGGATGTAACGCCTTTATGAAAAATAATCGATCACAAGAGAGTAGATACGGGGGTAGGGGGTAGGGGGGCTCCTCACCTTGCGGACGACTAAGTGTGTTGCCAGAAGAACACATGTGCAGCGTGAAAAGTGGCTTGCAAGCTAATTATCAACCGCCGGGGCTGTATCCGAGGTTCATTAGTGAATATTGATATCGCAAGGGAGCTCGGCTATCAAGCGCGGAGCTTTTGTTGATTATCTCGTTTACTTTTCATTTTCGTGGTTGGGGCGAGCGGAGGAGGATAATGTGTATTGTTATTATTTTTATTGTTGTTATTATTTATTATTTATTTATTTATTATTATTATTATTATTATTATTATTATTATTATTATTATTATTATTATTATTATTTTCAGTTTTTTGTGTGTGTGGTGTATGTGTGGTGTGTGTGTGTGTGTGTGTGTGTGTGTGTGTGTGTGTGTGTGTGTGTGTGTGTGTGTGTGTGTGTGTGTGTGTGTGTGTGTGTGTGTGTGTGTGTGTGTGGTGTGTGTGTGTGTGTGTTGCGTGTTGTGTGTGTTGTGTGTTGTGTACACAGATAGTTGAGAGATAGACAGACCGACAGACTGATAGTACAGACCTAGATGTAGTAATTATTTTTGTATTCATTAGGTCTCTTTTGTGTATCCTGAGTTTTCATTTTTCCTTTATAGGATGGGGGGGGGGGGGTGTAGCTTGATGTAGGGAATCCTGTGAGGAGCAATATGATTAAGGAAGTATGTGCGTTCGTTTGTAGGTGTGCAGTATGTGTATGCGTGTGCGTGTAGACCTTGTTTTTGTGTGTATGTTTGTTTGGTGGTGTCATTAGTCGTCTGTTTGTGTGTACTTGGACGTGAGCGTATTTCCGTGTTTGTGCCTCTTTGTGTGTATGTACATGTGCGTGAGCCTGTGTTGTGTGTACTTGGACGTGAGCGTATTTCCGTGTTTGTGCCTCTTTGTGTGTACATGTGCGTGAGCCTGTGCGTGTATTCGTGTAAACCACCTGTGGGGTGTTTGTATGTTTGTGCATTCGTTCTTGGGTGTATGTGTCTGCCTGCTGGCGACTGTGGCCGGGTGCATTGGCGCGTGCCTTCATCTGTTGCTTCATAGGTCAGCCGCTTGATGGGGCTGCTTCTTGCGCGCTTCTTGAGTCGTCTGAAGCGTGACCCTGTGAAAGGCCTGTCCTCCGCCACACGCCTTTTTTCGACGCTTCTGTGCAGAGCGTGGCTTTATGGGCCTATTTTTATTTGAATGACGGTTTTACAGTTTTCTGAATGGCAAGGCGAGTCACTGGCATGTGCACGGAAAGTACATACACGGATATGCATGTGCACACGCTAAATGCATATACGCATATACACGTATGCATAACGTAGAGTGGTTATGTAGACATGTGTATGCACACACACACGCTCACACTCTCATTCTCTCGTACTTACAATCTACGCACTTACTGCCACTTAAACTCACTTTCACACTCATTCTCACACTCAAACTCACGCTCACAGTCAGTCCCAATCAGATTTATTCTCATACTCACACTCAGACTGACTGTCACACACACACTCAGTGTGCCATACGCTTCGAGTCAAGTATTGTGTTACCTTTAGACTACGCAGGTGCGCCGCGGGTCATGTTTACCTGCCTCTGTTAAATCCTTTCCCTTTTTCCTTTCCCTTACCCTTCCCCTTCCTCTTCCTCTTCCTCTTCCTCTTCCTCTTCCTCTCCCCTATCTTATTCCTTCCTTACCCTCTTCGCCTTTCTTCTCTCCTTCTCTTTTCTCTTCTTTCCTCCTCTTTCCCTTTCTCAATTTCTCTTTCCCCTCATTTCCCCCTCTTTCCCCCTGTCATTCCCCATTTCCTTTCTCTTCCCCGTCCTCTTGGCCTGACCTCCTCTTTCCCTTCCCCTTTTCACTTCCACCACCTCTCGCCCTACCTTTCTCCCCCCCCCCTTCCCTCACCCCTTCTTCTCCCCCTCACCCCATCCCCCCTCACCCTTCTCCCCTTTCCTAAGACCCTGCTAACTCTTAAGCCATTAGGGCGAGCTTCACGGCGTCTGGAGTGAGGAAATCGCCTCTATGAGACACCCCGCTGCGTGGTTCTTTTTGTTATTGTTTTAAAGAAGTGTGTGTGTGTGTGTGTGTGTGTGTGTGTGGAGGGGGGGGGTGTACGCCTGTGTAGTCGTTCCTGTAGCAGGCTAAGAGGTGGGCGGATTTTTTTTTTTGTCTGCGTTTCTTTGTCGTTTTGTGTTTGTTGTGTTGACGAGGAGGAAGGGGGAGGGGGATGGGGGGGAGTGTGTGTATGCCCGTCCTTAAAGGGGAAAAGCTGCCGAGGATCGCCGAGTTCCCCCCCCCCCCCCCCCCCCTCAGTGAAGGAGGAGGGAGAGTGTTCGGGAGAGGTCCTTCTCGGCCAGCGAGTTCAGGGCAGGTGAGGAGAGAGAGACTTATTTAAAAGGGAAGGTTGACTCCCACTCCCTGTTTTGTTTTCGTTTCGTATCGATGGCTGTTTGATTTGTCTGTCTGCCAGGCTGTCTCTCTCTCTCTCTCTCGCTCTCTGTGCCTTTCTCTCTTTCTCTCTCTCGCTGCCTTTCTCTCTCTCTCGCTCTCGCTCTCGCTGCCTTTCTCTCTCTCTTTCTCTCTGCCTCTCTCTCTCTCTGTCTCTCCCTTCCCTTCCTCCCGGCAGTTCGTGTGTTTGTGTATGTGTGTGTGTCTATGTGTATATATGTGTGTGTGTGTGTGTGTGTGTGTGTGCGTGTGTGTGCGCGTGTGTGCGTGCGTGCATGTGTGTTTGAAATTCCCGTTGACATTTCGGTGCCTGTTTTTGGTGACCTAATCGTGACCTTTTCCCTCGTTCAAGTTCTTTTCGACAGTGTCAGAAATCTCGTTGGGTCGGATTCGGAAATATTTGCAGTGCTTCCTGGTTGCTCTGTTATCATCGGCATCGTTATTATCATCATCATTATTAATATCATCATTATTAGTACTAGTAAATGATAAATACTTTAGGCTTATACCGTTTGTTGCAAAGGATATATGTGACAGGCTGTCTGTTTTAGTTTGCTTCTAAATTACCCCCTGTGTGCAAGGAATGGCCGGGGTTGCCTTCCACTGGCAGCGAGGGATTTGAACGCAGGTCAGCAAGATTGCTAGACGGGATCGCTACCGCTGCACCACACAGCAGCAGCAGCAGCAGCAGTAGTAGTAGTAGTAGTAGTAGTAGTAGTAGTAGTAGTAGTAGTAGTAGTAGTAGTAGTAGTAGTAGTAGTAGTAGTAGTAGTAGAAGTAGTGATAATGGGTGTAGTAGAAGTAGTAGTAGAAGTCGTGCTAGTAGTAGTAGTAGTAGTAGGGGTAGTAGTAGTTGTTGTCATTGTTTTGTTTTTAGAATCATTAACATCACAATCACCATCATCATTATCATCACTGTATAACAACTGGCACCGTTATTGTTTTCATTTAATGGAAGGCCAAGCGTTCGATTGTGCAAGT